TGGTATTTATCATTCCCGTGGATGTTATTCTTTTACTACCTAAGCATATATTCCTAAGTAATATGCAGTATTATTTTACATATCTTTAACTTTATGTAAATGTGTCATACTACACACAGTCTTTTGCATTTTGCACATTTTTGCCTATTTTGTTGATCATCTGTGTTGATAAGTATATCTCTAGTTTATCCATTTTACTGATATATAGTAAAATTGCATGATTCTATAATTTATCCATATTTATGGACATTGCTTCTAATTATTTGCTATTATAAACAATGCTCTGAGTGAATAGAATAAATTAATGACTTCAAAATGAAATATTAAATGTCAACGGAAGACATTTTCTTCTTTTTAAATGGGCTGTAATTAGTTTTTCTCCCTTTTGGGTAAGTTATCTATGCCATTGGGTAAAATTACACAATTTTCTTGATTTTCTTCTTGCCCCACATTAGGTGAGTTTGGCTACTGTGATTTTTGTAGCAAGCCAGAAGGCATTGTCTGCTGAAGTAAAGGCGGTGATTAAGCAGCAGCTTGAAAGTGTCTCCAATGGATGGACTGTATACCGTATTGCCAGACAGGCTTCCAGAATGGTATGTGTCACCCTTCTAAGCGAACTGGCTTGGTGGAAATGTCAGGTCATATACCTTACGTTGTATGATTATTAGTCATAATCTAAACTGAAATAAAGATGGAAGTACTTTTTAGTTGTGGGTTCTAAAGATGGTGAAGGATTTTTAACTTTTCTCATAAAAGAATGGTACCTATGTTGTTGGTATTTATCAGCGTTAGGAGGAAGTCAAAATCTGAGCTCTTTCTGGCCCTAGGTTGTTAGTGCCACTTTCATTCTGCCCTGTATTGTCATAACCTAGGCCGTCTGCCACACCCTCTGTTTCTGTCCTCCATGTCAGTAACCACCACATCTCTCTTTCTCGCCCCAGCCTTACCATTCGCAAGTAGAAATGGAAAAGTTTTAGTATGCTGTACTCTTCTCAGCCATATGGAACGCCTAACAATTTTTATTAATTTGTTTGAGAGGCAGGAAATGCAGACCTTGATTAGTACAGAAATCCTTTAGGGATAAGTCCGGAGAACAAAGTTTGAGAAGCATGACTCGAGGTGATTGAAGCGCATGTTCTTAATTTTACATTGTTTCTCAGATTTTCCGTTGTTTCTCAAATAGGGAAGGAACATTGCAGAACATTGAGCGTCCCAGGCTCCGGGCATTAAATGGCATTCACATTCCCCCCAACAATTCCCCCTTGCCCCCTGGGGTTTTCCTCACCCCACTCAGTAGCTCATCCAGAAGGACATACATTAAGTATTTATACTTTCTATATTTTGGACTAAAATTCCCTTTCTTTTTTCTTTGAAACTGTTTTAGTAAAGAACTTTAAGCATTATGTTACATAAAAGCAGCTCAGCATATATTCTCTGAGGAAGGATTTAGACTGAGTCCCAAAAAATTATATAACATGAGGAACAATCATTTATACTTATCCAAGGTTTGGGTTTGTCTTATGGCTGCTGCATCAACTCTTTCAAACGTACGAACCTTACCATGTGCCCCTTCTCTTTCTTTTTTCTTTGCTTTTGGTTTTTGTTTTTTTTTTTTTCCTTTTTCTTTTTTTAGGGTAATCATGACATGGCCAGAGAGCTTTATCAGAGTTTGCTGACTCAGGTTGCCTCAGAACACTTCTACTTCTGGCTGAATAGTTTGAAGGAGTTCTCACATGCAGAACAGCGTCTCACCTTGTTGCAGGAGGAGAATTATAGTTCAGCGCTTTCTTGCATTGCTGAGTCTTTAAAATTCTATCACAAAGGGATTGCTTCTTTAACAGTAAGTTCTCTTAATTCTCCCTTGGTGATGATGACTTATGTGAGAATTCTCTCCCTTTTCTTTTTGGGTTATCCTATTTTAACTACCTCGAGAAACCTGCTGATGTGTATATTTGGCAATATCAAAATAATAAATAGGTCATGGAAATAAACCCTTAATTCTTCCCCCTTTTTAACATTCAGAGATCGATGAAAACTTACCATTTTGTCTTTATAAAGTACTGGGTACCACATGTGAAGAGGATTGCTGAATCCATGCAGAAAGGATAAGTGGTGTGGAGATAGGATCTCCCCTCTCCAGACTCTTACTAGTAAGATCCCAGCGTGGGTCAGTACCACCATCAAACACAAACCCCTGGCCTCATCTCATACCTGGCAGCTACTTACTAAGTAACTAGAGTTTTTTGCTTTATAGATAATGAAACAATTACCGAGGATTCTAGTGTCCCACTTTGTACCCTTCTGTGATCTCCTCCCACTCCCAAATCAATAGTCAGCTAGCTACAGTTTCTGTTCGCTCTGCCAAGGAAATGAAAGTTTGCAGAGAGGGCAGACCCTTAAC